AAAATTCTTTCAAATTTTTAAAAAATAACAATAATTCCAACAATAAAATACCATTGGCCCAAAAAATGAACTTAAATAGAAATGAAGCAAAAAGATTTTAAAAATTTCAGCAATTTAACTGACCTGACTTCACCATATCTGACCTGACCTGACCTGACCTGAACATGCTTTCTGTGCTCGCATTCTGGACGTTTCTTTTTTCAAATAATAATAACAATAAAACATTTTGAAAACTGCCCAATGTGACCTCATCACATTAATTTCTCGTTTCCATCCTCGCCGGACCCACAAAAACAAACACCCAATCCTCTAATCACCCGCACACAATCTAGCCACCTTGTCACGCAATCAATTTCACCATCTTTTGTTTTTGTAGAAATTAGCAGTTTTTCCCGCGAGTGCCACTTTAAATCAATCACCCAACGTCAACGACGCATTGTCTGCCGCCGCCCGCGGCGTCGCCACAGCCTACTCTCTCCTTCGCATTCGACCCCGCACGAAATTCCAAAAATCCGCTAATTGCTCACCGATTAAATCTAATACGGCTTTTAATTGCGCCAATTCTAATAAAATTTGATAAATGTGTTTATGTCAGATTTTTGGGTTATTGTCGCCGCAGTGGTCGAGATTTGGTGACATTTAGCGCGGTTACGTTTTGTCGATTAATTAGTGCTGCGGTTACGTCGACGCCGCCTTGAGAATCACTCAAGGTAATTGGAAAGTAAGACTCCGTTTCGATTTTGGGTACGTTTCGAGTGACGACCGTGAAGGCGAAATCATCAGAATGAGGAAATCAGCGGAATGCGCGCGAAGAAACGGGTCGGGGGTTAGAGGCAACTCTGAGCCAAAACGTTTTCGAGCGGCGAAATGGAGCTATTTAGAATGGCTATTTTATATTAAAAAAATTGGTCGATATTTGTTTTTTGATAACTTCTATAAAGTAAAATGCAGTGTTGTAAATAACACTCTCGCAGTCTTTTGATTTGAATTTTTCAATTTTTAATTTAGTATTTCTGGTTTCTCCGTTTTTCAATTTCCCGAATTATTTTTCAATTTTGGATTTTGCAAATTTTTCGTTTCAATTTTTATTTTCTTAATTTTTAAATTTTTTCGATTTTTTGGTGTTCTATTTTTCTGATTTTTCTTTTTTCAATGTGAAATTTTTCACTTTTGGATTTTTCAATTTTTCGACTGTATAATTTTTCGATTCGAACCGTTTTTTCTTCTTTCGAATTTTTCGATTTATTTTTTTTTTATTTTTAAGTTTCTCGATTTTTTAGTTTTTCACACTGTAAAACTGAAAATTCAAAATTAAAAAAACCAAAAAGTAAGTATAAAGTTAAAATCATTGAAAAATGTATCATAGGTAAATTGAAAATCAAAAACTGGAAAAATTGAAAAACCGAAAAATTGAAAAATCGAAAGATTAAAAAATGAGAAACTTAAAATTGAAAAAATATTGAAAATTAAAGAAATCAGAAAATCGGATAAGTGAGAGAAATCCAATATTGCAAATTTCAAAAATTCAAAAATAAGAAAATCGAGAAATTAAAAAATCTTGATGTTTCAGTTTTCAATTTTTAATTTTTCAATTGTTAGATTTTTACTTTTTCGATTCTTCAATTTTTCGTTTCGCTTTCTAAGTGTTTTCTTTATTTTTAAAATTTGTCGGTTTTCTACGTTCTAATGTTCTAATTTTGTCTTTCAATGTAAAATTTTTAAATTTTTGAATTTTTCAATTTTTCGATTTACAATTTTTCGATTTTTCAACTACTGGATTAGTTTTTTTCAATTTTAGATTTTTCAGTTTCTCAATTTTTGGTTTTTCCGTTTTTGATTTGCAATTTTTCTAGTTTTTATTTTAAATATTTTTTCAATTTTACGATTTGAGAATTTTCTATTTTTTAATTAGATATTGGGTTTAAAAACTTTAGCAGTAATTAATTTTTTATATTTTTCAATTTTTGTTTCTGGCAGACATATAATTTTTCCATTTTTCGATCTTTCAATGTTATAGATACAGTTTTTCGAGTTTAAAATTTTGACAATTCTATAATTTTTCGATTTTATATTGTTAGATTTTCCGATTCATTATTTTTTCGATTGCTAAGTTTCTCGAGTTTTAGTTTCTCAATGTTTCGAGTTCTCGTTCCTTGGTTTTTCGTTTACAATTTTTCAGTTTTCCAGTTTTTAAATTTTTAGATTTCTGACTTTTTCGATTCTTCAATTTTTCGATTTGTTCGTTTCGGTTTTTATTTTCTTTATTTTTAAAATTTTCGTTTTTTCTACGTTCTAATTTTCTAAGTTTTTAGATTTTTCAATTTTTCGATTTTTCGATTTACAAGTTGAAAATCAAGAACTGGAAAAATTGAAAAACCGAAAAATTGAAAAATCGAAAGATTAAAAATTGAGAAACTTAAAATTGAAAAAAATATTGAAAATAAAGAAATCAGAAAATCGGATAAGCGAGAAATCCAATCTTGCAAATTTCAAAAATTCAAAAATAGGAAAATCGAGAAATTAAACAATTTGGGATGTTTCAGTTTTTATATTCTGCAATTTTTCTATTTCCAATTTCACGAGTTTTCAATTTTTAATTTTTCAATTGTTAGATTTTTGCTTTTTCGATTCTTCAATTTTTCGTTTCGCTTTCTAAGTGTTTTCTTTATTTTTAAAATTTGTCGGTTTTCTACGTTCTGATGTTCTAATTTTGTCTTTCAATGTAAAATTTTTAAATTTTCCAATTTTTCAATTTTTCGATTTACAATTTTTCGGTTTTTAATTTTTCGATTTTTCAACTGCTGGATTAGTGTTACATTTTTCTTTTTTCAATTTTAGAATTTTCGGTTTCTCAATTTTTGGTTTTTCCGTTTTTGATTTGCAATTTTTCTAGTTTTTATTTTAAATATTTTTTCAATTTTACGATTTGAGAATTTTCTATTTTTTAATTAGATATTGGGTTTAAAAACTTTTGCAGTAATTAATTTTTTCTATTTTTCAATTTTTGTTTCTGGCAGACATACAATTTTTCCATTTTTCGATCTTTCAATGTTATAGATACAGTTTTTCGAGTTTAAAATTTTGACAATTCTATAATTTTTCGATTTTATATTGTTAGATTTTCCGATTCATTATTTTTTCGATTGCTAAGTTTCTCGAATTTTAGTTTCTCAATGTTTCGAGTTTTCGTTCCTTGGTTTTTCGTTTACAATTCTTCAGTTTTCCAGTTTTTAAATTTTTAGATTTCTGACTTTTTCGATTCTTCAATTTTTCGATTTGTTCGTTTCGGTTTTTGTTTTCTTTATTTTTAAAATTTTCGGTTTTTCTAGGTTCTAATTTTCTAAGTTTTTAGATTTTTCAATTTTTCGATTTTTCGATTTACAAGTTGAAAATCAAGAACTGGAAAAATTGAAAAAATCGGAAAATCGGATAATTGTGCAATCCAAAATTGCAAAATTGAAAAATTCACACATTGGAAAATCGAGGAACCGACAAATCTAAGAATGAAAATTTGAAAAATTGTAATATGAAAAAATTGAAAAAACGAAGACTCAGATTTCAAAAAAAAAAGATTTTTCGAAAAATTATAGTTAGATTTTCCGAATTCTATTTTTTTATGACAACTCTTATAAGTTAAAATAAATATACCGGGTGTCTCTTTTAATTTTTCGATTTTATATTGTTGAATTTTTTAGTTTTTCGTTTCGAATCGTTTTTTCTTCTTTCCGATTTTTCGATTCATTATTTTTTCGATTGCTAAGTTTCTCGATTTTTAGTTTCTCAATGTTTCGAGTTTTCGTTCCTTGGTTTTTCGTTTACAATTTTTCAGTTTTCCAGTTTTTAAATTTTTAGATTTCTGACTTTTTCGATTCTTCAATTTTTCGATTTGTTCGTTTCGGTTTTTATTTTCTTTATTTTTAAAATTTTCGGTTTTTCTACGTTCTAATTTTCTAAGTTTTTAGATTTTTCAATTTTTCGATTTTTCGATTTACAAGTTGAAAATCAAGAACTGGAAAAATTGAAAAAATCGGAAAATCGGATAATTGAGAAATCCAAAATTGCAAAATTGAAAAATTCAAACATTGGAAAATCGAGGAACCGAAAAATCTAAGATTGAAAATTTGAAAAATTGTAATATGAAAAAATTGAAAAAACGAAGACTCAGATTTCAAAAAAAAAGATTTTTCGAAAAATTATAGTTAGATTTTCCGAATTTTATTTTTTTATGACAACTCTTATAAGTTAAAATAAATATACCGGGTGTCTCTTTTAATTTTTCGATTTTATATTGTTGAATTTTTTAGTTTTTCGTTTCGAATCGTTTTTTCTTCTTTCCGATTTTTCGATTAATTATTTTTTCGATTGCTAAGTTTCTCGATTTTTAGTTTCTCAATGTTTCGAGTTTTCGTTCCTTGGTTTTTCGTTTACAATTTTTCAGTTTTCCAGTTTTTAAATTTTTAGATTTCTGACCTTTTCGATTCTTCAATTTTTCGATTTGTTCGTTTCGGTTTTTGTTTTCTTTATTTTTAAAATTTTCGGTTTTTCTACGTTCTAATTTTCTAAGTTTTTAGATTTTACAATTTTTCGTTGAAAATCAAGAACTGGAAAAATTGAAAAAATCGAAAAATCGAATAATTGAGAAAACCAAAATTGCAAAATTGAAAAATTCGAACATTAGAAAATCGAGGAACCGAAAAATCTAAGACTGAAAATTTGAAAAATTGTAATATGAAAAAATTGAATAAACGAAGACTCAGATTTCGAAAAAAAAAAAGATTTTTCGAAAAATTATAGTTAGATTTTCCGAATTTTATTTTTTTATGACAACTTTTATATGTTAAATAAATAAATAGTTTAAATAAATAAATAGTTTATTGATCATCCAACGGGCAAATCGCCCACATAGGACATAATAATAACAAATAGTAAATTAACCCAAAAAAACAAAAAAATTTAATATAATGCTAATTTAACGCCAGCAATAAATTCATTTGGAGACACTACAAATATATCACATAGGTGTTGTATGTTATTGTATATTCTGCACATATTATTAACTGGTGAATAATAATGTTGATTAGTGCGAGCCACATCACATAGGAAAGTTCTCGGATTCCTAGATCCTGAACGAGGAACATAAAAACAAATTTGTTCGAGCAAGACATTGTCATTAATTATATTATGTATGAGTTTATGCAGAAAAATAACAGAGGAAAATTCACGCCTACTTTGGAGATAAACAAGATTGAACTCATTTAACAGCTCATGCTGCGAAAATCCTTGGATAGGGTAAACACCGTATTTTTTGTAGAAAGCATACTTACAGAATTTCCTCTGCACTTTTTCCAAGACCTGTATATGTGTAATATAAAAAGGATTCCAGATTATTGAACAATACTCTAAAACAGACCTAACATACGCACAATAAAGCATTACAATACAGTCAACATTGGTGAAATCCTTTGTGTTACGTATTATAAAACCTAGTATTTTCATGGCCTTTTCACTAATATGTGTAATATGTTGTGTGAATGACAAAGACTGATCCATCACAACTCCCAGGTCTTTAAACTCAGTACACCTAATAAGTGACTGATCATTTATCTTGTAATTGAACAAAATAGTGTTAACTTTACGACTATATGACATAATTCTACATTTATTAACATTCACTTCTAATTTATTCTCAACACACCATTTAAAAAACTTATTCACAATACCCTGCAATACAAAGCAATCGTACTCATCACTTATGACTTTTAAAATTTTGACATCGTCAGCATACATATAGACATCACATTGATTATTATTTATCACAGAAATTACATCGATAACAAAAATTGTAAACAACAACGGTCCCATATTTGATCCCTGGCAGACACCTGTGTTACATTCATAACTATAAGATTTACAATTCTGATATTGCACATACTGTTTTTGACCTACAAGTATCGACTTGAATAGTTGGACTACTTCTTCACATAGACCCATAGCAGCAAGTTTGTTGAGTAGTAAAGTATGATTCACTTTGTCAAACGCCTTAGACAAATCTGTATACACAACATCAACTTGCTGCTTTAAATCTAAAGAGTTGGATAATTTTTGTGTAAAGTTACATAGATTAGTTGCAGTCGATCTACCTGATATAAAACCATGCTGCTGAGTTGCAATTAATTGTTTTACATGACTGTATACATACTTAACTAAAATGCTTTGAAAAATCTTAGCAAAATTTGGTATAATTGCAATGGGCCTATAGTTAATTACATTATCTTTAGCATCAGATTTAAATACTGGAGTAACTCTACCAATCTTCCAACATTCTGGGAACGTGGAGGTGGAAATTATGGCGTTATAAAGATGACAAAGCGGTGTTAATAGAGACCCTATACAATCTCGGACGAGAAATGCAGGAATTTCATCATCTCCACTGGTTAGATTCGGTTTCAATTTTTTAGCAGCTTGTAGAATATCACAGTCGGTTATATTAAAACGATGTAAAACATTTACGTAACAACACGGAAAAAGATCACAGCATTTATCACAGTTATCGTCGCAGGCTTTATCACAGTATTTATCATCATGGGAAGGTTGAGTGACAACATGATCGACATCATTTGTAGAATTATTTGATGGAATAAATACACCACTAAAATGCTCAGCAAAAGCATTCACGATGTCACGGGACGTTGACAGGAGACGATCATTATATGTCATTCTTCCTGGTATACGCGTACTCCCTTTTCTTGAAGTAATATAGGACCAGAATTTTTTAGGATCCGATTTAACATTGTCTTCTGCGGACTTAATAAAATTATGAAAATCAGTCTTAATTTGTGACTTGACCTCTTTCTCCAATTTTCGAGCAGCATCCTTTTTCGATAAGAGGTGACATTTCTTATATGATTTCCATAAGCGGTCTTTCTTTTCAATCATTTTAACAGTACCTGGTAAAATCCAACAGGGAAAGTTATGCCGAGCAGGAGTGATTTTAGGAACATTGGTCTCACAAAGCACATGCAGCTTTGTATATAATAAAGTACAGATTTCATTTACATCATTAATCTCTAGAATATCGGACCAATCTGTTTTTAACATTGCATCATATAAGCTGTGAAAATCTGCTTTTCTAAAGTTGTAACGAACAGAATCACGTTGTGCTTCAAAAACTACTTCCTGCTTGGTTTCAACAGTCAATTCCACACCTAAAGATGGATGATGCGGATCCTCAGCAACAAAGGGCTCCTCCATGTGATCCACATTACATTTTATTTTTTCAGAGGACAATACGAGGTCAAGGATTCTGTTGTTACGGTTCTTAACAAAATTATTCTGGCGTAATTCATTATAATTTATGAACTGGTTGAGAGTTTGGCAAACAGATGAAGGATTTTGAGCATATCTAGTGGTTGCGAAATATTCCGGAATATTGAAGTCACCAGCAATCAGAGTCATCCCCGTGATATGGGATTCTTCCAAATATTCGAAGACACTTTCATAGAGCTGCATCTGACTGCCAGGAGGAATGTAGAGATTTATGACGATTACAGGATCAGAGCAGCAGAACAACTTAACTACTAAAATATCAACTTCCTCAAATGGAGAAGTCACACATATACATTGAGCAGAAATTTTGCAGTTAACAGCAGTCAGCACTCCTCTTCCTTTTCTACCATTAGATGAACGGAAAACATTGTAATTATTTCCAAAAATTTCACTTGAGCTGACAGAATCACATTAAAATAATTATACTGGGTGTCTCTTTTATTTGATACAACCGCTTTATTCTTAAAGATAAACTTGTAGTTGTTTGAACAAATTTGTATCATTTTAAAAAATCTATCTGATGGCAACAACTTTTCATTTGTTTTTCAAGCAACTAGATTTTGAATTAAATGAAACATTTTTGAGATATTTTACTAGATAGCGTGTTTGTTTTTAGAATATTGGTTGGTTTTGATTTTTTGTAGTAAAAAAATGAATCTTTCCATTTATGAAAAAATATACCTAGTGTTAAGTTAAAAAAATTAAGTTGATGTCATTTCCGACTCTACCGGAAGTGATAATAAAAATGTGTGGTTATCATCACATAGATCGTTTAAAATGATACAAATTTGCTCAAAGAAGTACAGGTTTATCTTTAAGAATAAATAAGTTACAGGAGTTGTATCAAATAAAAGAGACACCCCGTAATTTTTCAATTGTTAGATTTTTACTTTTTCGATTCTTCAATTTTTCGTTTCGCTTTCTAAGTGTTTTCTTTATTTTTAAAATTTGTCGGTTTTCTACGTTCTAATGTTCTAATTTTGTCTTTCAATGTAAAATTTTTAAAATTTTGAATTTTTCAATTTTTCGATATACAATTTTTCGATTTTTCAACTACTGGATTAGTATTACATTTTTCTTTCTTCAATTATAGATTTTTCAGTTTCTCAATTTTTGGTTTTTCCGTTTTTGATGTGCAATTTGTCTAGTTTTTTTTAAATATTTTTTCAATTTTACGATTTGAGAATTTTCTATTTTTTAATTAGATATTGGGTTTAAAAACTTTTGCAGTAATTAATTTTTTCTATTTTTCAATTTTTGTTTCTGGCAGACATAATTTTTCCATTTTTCGATCTTTCAATGTTATAGATACAGTTTTTCGACTTTAAAATTTTGACAATTCGATAATTTTTCGATTTTATATTGTTGGATTTTTCGATTAATTATTTTTTCGATTGCTAAGTTTCTCGATTTTTAGTTTCTCAATGTTTCGAGTTTTCGTTCCTTGGTTTTTCGTTTACAATTTTTCAGTTTTCCAGTTTTTAAATTTTTAGATTTCTGACTTTTTCGATTCTTCAATTAATTTTTCGATTTGTTCGTTTCGGTTTTTATTTTCTTATTTTTAAAATTTTCGGTTTTTCTACGTTATAATTTTCTAAGTTTTTAGATTTTTCAATTTTTCGTTGAAAATCAAGAACTGGAAAAATTGAAAAAATCGGAAAATCGGATAATTGAGAAATCCAAAATTGCAAAATTGAAAAATTCACACATTGGAAAATAGAGGAACCGAAAAATCTAAGATTGAAAATTTGAAAAATTGTAATATGAAAAAATTGAAAAAACGAAGACTCAGATTTCGAAAAAAAAAGATTTTTCGAAAAATTATAGTTAGATTTTCCGAATTTTATTTTTTTATGACAACTCTTATAAGTTAAAATAAATATACCGGGTGTCTCTTTTATTTGATACAACCGCTTTATTCTTAAAGATAAACCTGTAGTTGTTTGAGCAAATCTGTATCATTTTAAAAAATCTATCTGATGGCAACAATTTTTCATTTGTTTTTCAAGCAACTAGATTTTGAATTAAATGAAACATTTTTGAGATATTTTACTAGATAGCATGTTTGTCGTTGATTTTAGATTATAGGTTGCTTTTGTTTTTTTGTAGTAAAAAAATCAATCTTTCCATTTATGAAAAAATATACCTAGCGTTCCGTTAAAATAAAAATAAGTTGATGTCATTTCCGACTCTACCGGAAGTGATAATAAAAATGTGTGGTTATCATCACATAGATCGTTTAAAATGATACAAATTTGCTCAAAGAAGTACAGGTTTATCTTTAAGAATAAAAAAGTTTCAGGAGTTGTATCAAATAAAAGAGACACCCCGTATAATATATACTATTTACCATGTTTAGTACGATAATCTTAAAACGTTTGCAAAATTTCAGAGCATTCGGTTCTGCAGTTCCAAAGTTAAATATTGCAAAATGTTGTAATACAATTTTGATTTTTTTTGACGTCATCACCTTATTGGGGGGGATGATTAGCCAATTTAATCCTAAAATGTACTAATTTTATTTTAGCCGGAAAGTAGGGCGTGTCCGCCCGATAAATGGCTCAAATCTGGAAAAAGGGCGTTCCCTTGATCGGCGTCTGGTCGAAAATGAGTGGGGTGAGCGTCCGGCGTCCGCGGCATTGAATTCCGTTTAGCCAATACAACGGCGATTTAGGACAAAGTGTCTAGCTTGGGGGATGGACAAACTATAATTGGCTTAAACGGAACAAATGAGACAAAGGTCCTCGAAATCCCGTTCCAGTCGAACTGAAGAGCACGAATTCGTTACATAAACAACAAGAACCATCAAAACTCGCTGAATCACCCCGGCTCTGTCAAAATGGTTAAACGCATTCCAGCCGAGCCATGCAAATAATACGTAGCCTTCCAATTCCTCCGCAGTGTTGCAACCACCACACTCGCATGTTATTCCAAACCGTTACATACAAATATAACACATCGCAATCATTTTCGATTAACTCCGATCATTAAATCCGAAAAGGAATTAATCGCCTCTTTTGTTTCGCGTTACGAAACCCCGTGTGGGTTCCACACAGTTCACTTGTCTCAAATACCAACACCGGTGCCATAAATTCGCTTAATTATCCCTGTGGTCTTAATAGTCGGAGTTATTTAACAGTGGGCTAATTGATCGAATTAACGCAAAAAGTGGCATTGTGAAGAAATCCAGGAAGCGAGGAATACACTCTTGGAAAAAATGCATCGCAGATGGCCTTGCTTTCAAAACTGACGGACAGAAGCTGTCGTTTCCGTTATGACTGGGTTTCGCAACAGACGATTTTTTCGGAGGACACACCTAACGGATCTGGATTTATGTGCTGGCGATCCGGCTCGAAGGACCGACTTTATCATCATCATCGTTATTATTACTATTATTTCAAAAGCGCGCTGACACTGATCACGCGATATAAGGTTAATTGGGGTTACTGGAAATAATAGCCCACGCCTTCTCGAGCGCGTCAAAAATCACTTATATCAGATTTTGCACAATGCTCGAGCTCGAACCAGATCAGATCGAATTAAATAAATTTGACAAGTCCTAATGGAAAGAGGGCCTTGATCCATTTAGCTGTAACAATATTTATATTGCCACTTATAACAAAAACTAATAAAAATGGGTGTGAGCTTCTCGGCGGCGAAATTTATGAAGACAGGTCCTTATCGGCGAGATCTGGGCCCGCAACAAAGGCGCCCCGCTTGGCGGGCATAAATCTCGCAATTACCTCATTCTTGCGATCTTACAAAACTGAAAAGTGCGATTTTTCGTGAAATCTGGCGAGGTCGACGGGTTGCAAAGTTTAAGGTAAAAATTCGCGGAAAGTCGTACGGTGTGCGACTGAAAGAGAAACGAAGGTAAAATTTATTTGATGACACGTTTGAAACGGCCCGGTGAAAAATAGCGGAAATAAACCGCTTTCTTTCGAGGAGAATCCGAGATTGAAAGGTCAAGTTTAAGACGGTAAAAGGCTGGAAAAGTGAGGATTTTGCATGTTGTGGACATGTATGTCGTGTTATGGGAGAGTTATGGTACGATTGCTGACCTTAGCATTTTTAGGTCCAGACGGAGTGACGTGTTTGATGGGCGGGACAGCGGGTTTGAGAATTTTTTATAAGTGATTTAAAACGGAAGTCAGGGTTTATAGTTAATTGCTCGAAACGATTCTTGAATTTCCTTTTATTCTTGTTCATGTTCATTCATTAAAAACCTGAAATGTTTTCGAAAATAAAATACCAGAGTGTTCAAACATCCAAAATGAAGTATAGAATTCGAGCGCAGCGAGCTCGTTCAGGTGTTCTCAAAAAAGGTTCATGGGCGTTCCTGAGAATCTAAATTGTTAAGGCAACATTTTATTGTTTTTTAAAAAAAGAAAACTTCGAAAATATTTGTAGTGTGTAGAGTTTATGACACCTCAACAACCTGCACGTGCATTTTTTATTTTTTAAGTATACAATTTACTTTCACGGACTGCACCAGAGTTCTAGATCTATTTACAAGTTCAATAAAATAAAAAAAAGCCGGTTATTGACTCATTTGCCAGACTTCTAAGATAAGACTTGAAAAAGAAGAACAATATACAATGCGAGCGCAGCGAGCACCTTCAAGTTGTTTAAGTATCACAAACTCTGTAGAACCCGTGACACTTAACGACCTGAACTATGACACTTAAACAACCTGACCATAAAATCTATAACTTTATAGAGCCCGTGATAGTTAAACGACTTGAGCTATGACTCTATAATTCTATACCTCTATAGAGCCTGTGACATTTAAACGACCTGAACTGTAACTCTACAGACTTGAACGACCTGAAGTATAACTCTATAGAACCTATGACACTTAAACGATCTGAACTATAACTCTATAGAATCTCTAACACTTTAAAGGATCTGAACTATAACTGTACAGACCCTGTACGATTTAAACGACGCGAATTATGACTCTTTAACTCTATTGAACCTGTGTCATTTGAATGACCTGACCTATAACTCTATAGAGCCTCTGATACTTAAACAACCTCAAGTTAAATTCTATAACTTTATAGAACCTGTAACACTTAAACGACATCAATATAACTCTATAGACCCTGTGACACTTAAACGAGTGAATATAACTCTAGAGCTCTATAGAGCTTGTGACACCTAACCGACCTGTAGTATAACTCTATAACTCTATAGAACCTGTGACACTTAGACGACCTGAACTGTAACTCTACAATTCAATAGAACCTGTGACCTTTAAACGACCTGAACCATGAAGTCGTTGAAATTTAAGCTACCTGAACTTAAACTCTATAACTCTATAGAGCGTGCGACACTTAAAGGACATGAACTGTAACTCTATAGAACTTATGACACTTAAACGATCTGAACTATAACTCTATAGAGTCTCTGACACTTTAAAAGATCTGAACTATAACTCTACAGAGCCTGTACAATTTAAACGACGCGAATTATGACTTTATAACTCTATAGTACTTGTGACACTTAAACAACCTGAACTTCAACTCCATAATTTTATAGAGTCTGTGACAATTAAACGATCTGAATTATGACTCTAGAGAGCTTGTACCACTTAAACGACCTGAACTATGACTTATAGCACTCTATTGAACCTGTGTTACTTAAACGACCTGACCTATAACTCTGTAGAGCCTCTGACACTTAAACAACCTGAACTTAAACTTAAACTCTATAACTTTATAGAACCTGTGATAGTTAAATGACCTGAACTATCACTCTATAACTTTATTGAACTTGTGTCACTTAAACGACCTGAACTATAACTTTATGGAGCCTTTGACACTTAAACAATCTGAACATAAACTCTATAGAGTCTCTGACACTTAAGCAACTTGAACTTAAATTCTATAACTTTCTGTGACACTGAAATGACGCCAAAATAACTCTATAACTCGATAGAGCCTGTGATACTTGAACGACATGAATATAACTCTGTAGCTCTATGGAACCTGTGACACTTAAACGACCTGAAGTATAACTCTGTAACTCAATAGGACCTGCGACACTTAGACGACCTGAACTATAACTCTATAACTCCTCTACATACCCTGTGACACTTGAACGACGTGAATATAACTCTATAGCCTGTGACACTTAAATGACCTGAACCATAACTGTATAGAACCTGTGACACTTAAACGACCTGAACTATAACTCTATAGAACCTATGACACTTAAACGATCTGAACTATAACTCTATAGAGTCTCTGACACTTTAAAGGATCAGAACTATAACTCTACAGAGCCTGTACCATTTAAACGACGCGAATTATAACTTTATAACTCTATTGAACCTGTGTCACTTGAATGACCTGACCTATAACTCCATAGAGCATCTGACACTTAAACAACCTCAAGTTAAACTCTATAACTTTATAGAACCTGTAACACTTAAACGACATCAATATAACTCTATAGAGCCTGTGACACTTAAACGAGTGAATATAATTCTAGGGCTCTATAGAGCTTATGACACCTAACCGACCTGTAGTATAACTCTGTAACTCTATAGAGCCTGTGACACTTAGACGACCTGAACTGTAACTCTACAATTCAATACAACCTGTGACCTCTAAACGACCTGAACCATAAAGTCGTTGAAATTTAAGCTACCTGAACTATAACTCTATAGAACTTTTGACACTTAAACTGCCTGAAGTATAACTTTATAAAGCCTTTGACACTTAAACAACCTGAACTTCAACTCCATAACTTTATAGAGCCCGTGACAATTAAACGACGTGAATTATAATTATATAACCTTATAGAACCTGTGACACTTAAACGATCTGAATTATGACTCTAGAGAGCATGTGCCACTTAAACGACCTTAACTATGACTTATAACACTCTATTGAACCTGTGTTACTTAAACGACCTGACTTATAACTCTGTAGAGCCTTCGACACTTAAACAACCTG